CGCGAGTGGGAGTATATTCGTGTTCCAGGCTTGGGCTTCCTGCCAGGACTCCTCTGTCCGCATCACGACCGTGTTCAGAGTAACGGTGTTCTCCGCTCTACCGATTTTGCCGAGATGCTGCGACGCCATGCGGGGGAGACAGGCCTAGCCATCGATCATTTTGCCGCCCTCGTGCTGTGCGACGCTGAGTATCAAGTGCTGACGCTGCCCGACAAGCCAGGCTCCCTGATGCCGGACGGAACGAATCAACCCGGTCAGGGCATTCCGGGTGTTTGGCTTAAGTCTGTGGCTGCGGATGGGGTGATCCAGGAGGAGGCACTTCCCAAACAGGGCCCGACAGCGGCATTACTGCATCCGGCGCGAGCTATTGTGGAAGATGTTCGGGTGCAGAAGGTGCGCGCGGCTAATCCCAGCCATGACCTCTAGCAGATCAGATGCCGGCGAAGGCCTCTGATTGATTGCAGATCCATGTGAAAAAGCACTCCAAGTCCAGTGCCAGTAAGTCAGAGTGGGCCAGCCGGATCGGATGGGTTGATTGGTTTTCGAAACCGGACAGTTGGCGATTCTTGGACTTGTGACTTGTGAGTGGACAAGTGATTCGACGGCCTTTGTATTGCGGCACAAGCTTAACTTTGCCAACCGCGTGTGGCAGAAGCACGTGAGGTGAAAGCGGACTGGCTATGCGGAGATGCCCGTGGTCATCAAGAGTAAATGATGGGCTGTGGTGCGGTGGACAGTGTTCGACTGCAAGGATGGTGGATGCTTCTGTGCAAAAACAGGGTATGACCACCATGTGGCGCAATTCCTGTCAGTGCTAGTAACTCAATCTGGCACCATGTTGCAGAAGGCACCATTCGCAATTCGCTTCTCATCCAAAGTAGGCCGTGGGATCTCAAGATGCACATACTCTCGCTCTCTCCCTCTCCCTCTCCTCTCCCTCTCTCTGTCTCTCTCGTGCTCTCTCTCTCTCTCTCTCTCTCTCTCTCTCCTCCCTTTCTCTCTCTCCTCCCTCTCTCTCTCTCCCTCTCTCCCTCTCTGAGGCAGTTGTTTAACAGAATCAGTGGAAGCCGTGAGTGAGTTCCTCAGTCCTAGGCAATGGCTTGATTGGCCTGGTCTAGGCTTCAAGGTCATCCAAAGTTCAAGCAGCACTCGCATTTGGATCAAACTTGCTGTGTTTGAGGCCTTTTGGCTCCTCGCTGGTTTGCAAAACCCCTCCCTGATTCGTGTCTGAGTCGACCTAGTCTAAAAGTAGCACCTCAAGATGTCATGCATGTAGGCCCTTTACAACCTTGGGGCTCTGCCCCAGGCGTGGGCTGCTTCCAGGATTCTTTGCATGACCTCTTCTGTCAGATGGCTTGCGGCTGGCTCACCGCGTGCCTGGCGCTGGCAAGTGCCCTGCGCCCTGCCAAGGACCCTGCTCGGTCTCCGAAGATGTCTTGATTCTGTTGGATACATTTCACAGGACCTTCATGATGGGAGGTTGGTGCAAGCTTCTCAGGATCAGGCCTCCGCAAGCTTCGATTGACATGGAAGCATGCAGGAGGGTGGCAGGTCCGAGGTGCTCGTGAGCAACGTGAACGACTGTAACTCGGCGAAAGTGTGCCTGGATTTGTTACAGCAATATGTCAGCCAAGGTGAACGAGATGGTGCCAACCTCAAAGCGGCGCTACAGAAGCTGGGTGTTGCGGACGATGAGATGCATGGAGACGATCATTGTGAATGGGCGGGGATCTATTGCGTGGAGAGCGGGCATTGTGTGGAATTCGTCGAGTTGCGGAACACGAATTTGACAGGCCGGCTATCTGTGGAGCTCGGCAAGTTGACCAGACTTACCCACATGTGGCTCGGTGAGAACCCGCAACTGTCTGGCAATCTCGGGACCTTGAGCGCCCTTGCGGATCTCGTTTTGCTGGATCTGCGGAACACGAAGGTCACAGGAGAGATAAACGCTTTGAAGAATTCGAGGAAGCTGCAACGTGTGAATCTATTCCATACGAAGGTTTACGGGAAGCTGGAGGCTCTCTCAAATCTGGTGGAACTCAAGGAGCTGGACCTATCCAGGACAGGAATCACAGGCCGCTTCGAAATTCTGAAGAACTTCGACCATATGACAAAGATAATGCTAGCGGAGACGCAGACCAGTGGTCAGCTGAAAGAACTGACAGATCTTCGCGAATTGAGTCACCTGGATCTGTCCAAAACGAACACCACCGGAGCCATTGAGGATCTCTTGGGCTGGAAACATCTGAGAGAGGTCTCGCTGCGAAATACAGGGGTGACCGGACGCCTGTCTGCCAAATGGCTCGGAATGCTTAAAGAGCTGAGCGCTCTGGATTTGGCAGTCCGCGCCTAAGGCCGACGGTGTGCTCGAATCTGCACGTGAGTTCCCTGCGTTGCCCTCGAGGACACCCAGGCCGGTTTCGTGCCGATGACAGAGGATGTACCGGATCTTTGAAGCCGGAGGCATCCTTCAGGCCCTGGTAGTACTAGATGTCCCTTGCCTGCCATGCATGAGAAGCAACTTCCGTTGTCGTTCCTGCCGCATCATCTCAGGTCTCTGGATGTCCGCTGAATGCCATGGTGGAGGATTTCGTTTGGTCTCTTGCTCAATCAGATCGTCTTGCAAAAGTGACAGCCGCTCGGTGTAACCTGACCGGCACGCTGCCTTACTTTGATGAGCATGCACTATCAGTTTCTCTCCAGACGCTGGACTTGTCCGAGAATCGGATCACTTATGTCCAGGGGCTAGTTGCCGGGGGCCTTCTTTCCCTTGCGAACAATCCCAGCATTTCCTTCGCGCCTGGCGTCCTCGCCAACGCCATCCACCGAATGGTCAGGATTGACCTGAGAGGAGTACGTGTTACGGAGGCGCAGGTCGACAACGAAACCACGAAGCTGTTGGCAAAACTTCGTGGAGAGACGCTGGTCCAGATCGACAACGGGCGGCTTCAGTGCCACAAGCTGAGCGGCACTGTGCTGGACGTCACTCCGGGTCGCTTCTTGTCCGACCAGTTTTGCAGCCCCTCTCCAGGGCATGCGCGCCTCGCGGCCACGGACGTGACGGGTCATCAGTGCCGATCTTAGCAAGCTTGTCTTCGCAGCGCTGCCCAGCTGTGATCAATTCGCGGCAGAGGTGCTTCTTTCCGGCTAAAGAGCGATGCAACTCGACGAACAGCAGGAGCGAATGGAAACAGCTTGGCTGCGCCGAAGGCAACTTTGCTCGACATGGCGGTTCGTTTTTTCCTTTTGCAAGGGTGTGGAGCCGAGGCTACGAGGGCGTTCTTTGCAGCATTTGCGGGGATGGTTTCCGAAGCAGCGCCGGCCGCTGCAAGAGGCCAACGGACTCCTGCTCGTTCTTCACCGAAGCAAAGCTGCAGCAGGTGCACGGAAGACCTTGAGCAACTGCGTCGGTGGCTTGCCGGAGCTGCGCTGCTGGTTGCGTTGGTTGCTGCAGGTCTATATGTTTCCTGGCGGAGCCACGGCTTCGCAAGTCCTTGACAGCGCTTTGCGATGAATGCCCCCGGCGTACAATGACGTAGAACTGTCACGCAAACCTGCGAGGAACTGGTCCAAGCGGCTCCCGGAATCGCAGGAGCCAAAACCGATGGATGCAGCGTGGCAGGATCGTCCCCAGTTCTTATGAGCTCCACTTGCACTTGTTGGCAGATCCGAGGCCCTGATCCCGCTGCTGCTTGGGCAGGGCCCCGTCCTGTTGCAGTTCGTGCAGCTCTGGGCACTTCTTGCAGCCCTTGGCCCTACGAAGACGGCTTATGAGGCGGATGAGCAGCTCGTGCAGGTGCATCCTATGCATTCGGCAAAAAGTCTCTAGGCAGTGTGGCACTTCAATCACATAGATCCGTTCGTCGCTAATTCTATGACCAACTCGCTGCGTGTTTCTCCTTTATCTATTTTCTCACTACATTGCTTTTGTTCATCTTGCTCTGTCTCGTGTTCCGTTTGTTTCTGTTTCTCTTGCTGTGCTGATTCATGAATCATGTTTCTATCTTTTTCTGTTTGCTTGTTTATCTTTCAATTTTCATGCCTCTTTCTGTTTCTCAACCAGTCGCATTTGTCTATATCTCGCTTTCTCTCACGGCTCTGTTTCTTTCTCTTTCAGTACATATATCATGTACCCCCCCATTAAAAGATCCGGGCATGTTGCAGTACCTCCTGGCCCCATGCAAAAGGAGGAGCTGTCCCGTTGGTTGGAGCTGACAGCAGCCGGCATTGCTGACGGGATTAGCGTGCAGTGTATCTACGGCAGGACCGGGTCCATCTGAGTGAGCTGTGCTTGCAAGTCGTCGTAGCAGTCCTGGGTAAGTAAACGCTTGCGTTGTCATACGTTCGCAATATCTGGGGCAAGATTTCCCAATGCCATCCGGTTGACACTTGTATCGTAAAGACGACGCCAATCGGCGTGAGGCTGGCGGTGAGCTTCAGCGCCTTTGCATCGCCGAGCCTGCCACTGTGCTTGCTGATGCTTTGCCTTCTCGTGGAAGTCCTGGATTGGAGTGGAAAAGCATTTTGGCGTGGCAGAGGCGGGCGAGTTCGATAGGGTACAATCATAGGCATCGAAAAGGTGCTTCTGTCGGAAAGTTGGCCTGCATCCGCCAGGGCTTGGCGTGGACTTGGCATTGAAGGTGCTGTTGTTTCTATTCATTGGTGGCGCGGCGAGCTGTGAGAAGCTTCTGCGGTGCCAGGATGTTGATGCAGGCAGGGCCTTGGATGAGAAGATTAGACTTTCAGAAAGCTTGGACACAGATGCAAGGCGGTGAAGAATTAGGCGGTTACGCATACCGCTATGCGCTGCCACATCTGAGGCCGGAAGTTCCCTAGCTTGTTGCAATTTTGAAATTTCTCGGATGCTGACACTGGCGACTGGAGGTGCTCAGACTTTACTAGTGACCAAGCCGTCTGGGTCGGGCCCCAAGGGATGAGTTGGACGCATCTGAAGACTCGTGATGCGGATTGGCTTCTTGATCTGAGGCAGCTTATGTGGGATATGGCTCTGCCGTCGCATACGGCCTTCTCGTCCCAAGTTTCCTGATCTACCTCATCGTGAAGCAGAACGTAGCCCTGGCTCCGAATCGGCGCTGCGTGTCCTGGGCCGAAGTAGATGAGCACGAAAAGGTGACGGTGCGCGCCAGCCTCCTCGAGTTTGCGAGGAAGGATGGCAAGACGGACGAGGAAGGTCTCCGCGCCTGCATTTTTCATTCGCGGTGTTTTCAAGCAACGTCCACTGAGTCTTGTTGAGTCACATGGCATGGACTTTCCAGTGTTGCTCGGGATAGATTGGATGGCATCCTGTCTTGTGTCCAACCGAGCTAGATGATCTCCTCTGGCGTTTGTTCGTTGTTTCCCCAAACACTTTTCGTGCGCCATGATGAGTTGATGAAGCTCCTCGTTTTTCATTCAACCGAGAGCAACAAATGTTGCCGTCTTGCCAGCGAGACACGGCTTGAGGGGTGTCGTCTGAGGTTTGAGGTAACAAGTTTTGAGAGTCGGGGCATCGTGTAGTATGGAGATGTTTGGGGCTCCGGGCTTGAGGGCGGCAGATGTGTCCTGCCAGCAACGTCACCATCCTTTCATCCTGCAGCCTCCGTAGCGTATCGTAGCGTCAAGCTTTCAAGAACCATCGTCTGGGCTCGGATCCTTGCCAAGATTTCCAGCTCTCAAAGGTTCATGTCAACAGGGTTTATCTCGTGTGTCGAAGTAGCCGGGTACTTTGTTGAGATTGGCAAGGTGCTGAGGTCGAACAACCAGAGTAGAGGCAAGATGCGAAACAGGAAGCGAGCAGAGAGGAAGAGCAGGAGCAGAGGCCTGGACATCACCGGAAGATGAGACTGCAAGGAACTTACCGGCTTCCAGATGCAAGCAGAGCATTGGTGCGTCGGGGTACCAGGGTGAGCCGGGATTAGCAGCGATCGTAACACAGCACCATGTCGAAACAGGCATTGCTGTGAATGAGGGAAGTTTCAGTGGACGATACCAGGGAAGCAAGCTGCATGAGGCGAGCTTGAGGCTGCTTTGAAAGAGGAAAGCAATGGAGGAAACGATTTGCCATCGTGAGATCAAAAGTCCGGCGCTCAAAACTCGCTGAGACACGCCCGAGCCTGCTGGCATTAATCCTCCATGCCGAAACCATTTAGTTTAAACTGGATTAAGCGATCAACGCCACGATCGCTCTCAAAGCCTGGGACCAGCTTCTGTGCACTGATAGTCCGCTGTCAAAGATGGACCTCAAACTGACAGAGCGCCAGTGCGCCAAGCAGTCCTGGCCCGACATGCCGAAGAACCATTGCAGAACCGGCTCCCAAGACCCCCGCCAAGAAGTGCAGGGGACTGTGGCGGGAGCATAACTGGTGGAGGCCGCAACACGAGCAAAAACCCAACACATGGACGATATTGCCGCCGGAGCACGACGGGAACACACGGGACTGCGGCGGGAAAAACGAGTTGCAGCAAAAAAGGGTGGGAGAAACTTGGTGGGAGCATGTCTTTGAGAAATGAGGATCCCATTTGCAGACCGGGCCTTTTGCAATGAGTTCGGGATCCTCGACAGGTGCTTGCTGTGCGCGCCTCGCAGAGCCAGTATAGCCTCATCTCTTTTCCCTGAACCAAGCATTGCCACAGGCTTCGGGAATGAGGGAGCAACGAACCTTGTAGCTGGAACAGGTGTAGGCTACCACCATTGCGTTCGAGAATCCAGTTTTGACTGGCCGTGCACTGGTGGGCCACGACTCACCCAGTTGAACCTCGGGGAAGCAAGTGTGTGGTCCGACAGATGCACATTGACTTTCGCTCTCGACATTGGGGCCCACACCGCAAGCGCCAGAACCTGATGACCATGCCGTATCCCTAATCTCCATACTGTGAACCTTGCATCGGTCTCTGGTCACATGCAGGATGAGTCCACTAGAGTCGAGATCAGTGAGTCTTGCGTTCGTTTGCAATCTGGAAGACAACGGCCTCGATTTGTTGGCCTTCGGATCCCTGGGCAAGTTTGCTGAAACCAGCTTGATGCTCCAGCCACGAGTTCTTTGCAGTGGAATCTGCATCTGCAAAGCACTCGCGCAAGGATTGATTAGAGTGAAGTTAACGCGTTCGAAAGCAGGGAAGTTTCACAACAGGTTTGCACAAGGAGCAAGCCCCGGCCACCTGCAGAGCACCGTTCCGTACCACGCACAGGACAGCCAGCGGCAGAAGAAGATAGTTTCCGACAACCTGTTGGCGGCAGCCATCGCCTACAGCGCCGTCTTCCTCGGTGGGCACAGGGTGCACATAGTGCAGGATGACAAAGCCGAATCTCTGTCGCTTGGGCAGCATCGATGCTTAGACTTGTAGATACAGTTGACAAGACGGGCGGAAGGGCAAGAGCACCTCCGCCGAGTTATGTATGCCTGCCTAAGCTGGCCCGAACCAAACTGCCAGAAGCATTGCAGGATGTTGGAAGGAGCGAGCATCGACGAAGGAAGGGCTGACGGTTTGGAATTTGATGCCACCTGGCTGCGGTCAAGTAGGTGCCTGCATTGCTCGTGGCAGTGACAGTCTGCATAGTGAAGAACGGATTCCTACCGGCAGCATGCGAACAACATGTTTCAAAGGCGACGACCGCCTTGACGACTGCTTTGTCGACCGTCTCCACGGAAGAGCACAAGATCGACACTGCAATGCGTCGGTGGCAATCTATCACCAGGCTGCAGCAGCATGAATGCCGCCTTGCCTTGAGCGTGTTATCCTGGGTTGTCCAGGTTTGAGTTTGGGGAAAGACATGCATCCGAGCAACCGAACCGCGAGCGCTGCTACTTGTCACTTGTCGCCAGTCGCTGGCGTTTCAGTCCAAATACTAAGATGACACAAAGGCTCTTCTTTTGTGCAGCCCCCAATCTCTCAATGTTATCCCATGCACGGCCAATTTGCTAGGACTCGTGTCTCGCACGGCTTCCGGCCAAGGGTTGTAGCAGCCTCCTCCGCACGCTGCACGCGCATTCTCTGGCCGGCTGTATCAGGATGCTTGCGGAGCACGAGATGCTGGAAGAGAAAGCTCAGTCCGACAGAGCCTAGGAAGATTTGGCAGGGCGAATCAACAGGGCAAGCAACCTCTACACTGGAATGCCTTAATGAGGACATCGACATGACACAGCATAAAGTCCATGTCTGAGGGATTCTGGCCGGTGCCAAGACGATCTTCTTCAAATACGCGCCGTGGCTCAATGTCCAGTGCAATGTCCGACCTCTTGCATGCAACTTCATGCGTTCGGCATGCTCGTGCCACAACTGCTTCAGGAATTGGGAGTGCTACTCTTGCATCGGATGGTGACATGTGTGGCTCCGTATCGTCAAGACTGAGGCCGCGTGCGAGGACGTCTGGGTAGAAGCATTACTCAAAGTGGTTGCCGTTGCTTTGGTCACGACTGTGACGTGGCGGCAAAGCAGTCAGATGCACCTTGTTTACAATCCACATCCTCTTTCCTGAGTTGGCGAAGGGTGCTGGCAAGCAGTGACAAGCATCGTTGTGGATGAACTTTCATTCCGAACTGCCTCCATGCAGTAAACAAAACCCATAGCAGTAACGTCAAGCCTGAGCACAGACTGTGCTGCCACTCATTGCAGAAGTCGTGAGGATCCCTCCCATCCAACGGCTCCAGCAGACCTTGATGCACCTTTGACAGTCGTGTCACACTACGTGTACAGAGCGAAAGAAGACCAAAAGGTTGTTGTTGGACTTTGAGGCTGCATCTTTGATTATGTCAACTTTTCCGAACGTGCAAATCAAAGGTTCGCAAACTACAGAGGAGCAGACAGCATTCGGCAGCGGGCATTCAAGCCATCAGCAGGCCATAACAGCCATAACGTGCAATTTTGCATCGAAGCCACTGCTGCGTCCTAGTGTCGTCCAAGTAGTGCATGCATGATTGGGAATTTGGTCGCCTGTACTTCATGCCTTCATCACCTTCACCGAATCAGCACGGACATGAATGTGACATGAAACCACCTGAACCGTCAAGGGTTACTTCTGAGATCCAGATCAGGTTTCCGTGAAATCCTTGCTGCTGACCCTTTTCATCACCGTTGGTATGGCCATTCTCCTTGGTGCGCAAAAGCCATATCAGCAGCGTCAGGCCATGGGGATTACAGAACTTGGACTAAGGAGCCTTGTTTAATTGAAAGGTATCCTGCGGCTGTTCTCAGCAGCGACTGAATTAGGAGCGACATCCACGGCCAAGTGCATTGGGCAGGTGAATGATCTGCAGAGCGGCTGCTTTCTTTGCATCTTGGCCAAATCGCAGTACAAGTCGTAAAGTGTCATCGGCTGCAATTCAGTGGTTGTGCTGGCCTCTGCACCCCTTGCATGATTCCATTTACAAATCCGCTCCTATTGCCCAAGGCTTGTCCGTGGCAGCCGTGAGCTTGAAGAAGGGCAGCTTTCAGATCGCTCGATCTGTGCTGGTCATACCCTTCCTCGCGGCTTGCGTGCAGATGCTGCGACCAGGCCGCGACTGGCCGCGACGTTGAAGAGCAAAATGCTGTCAGTATCTCCGCAACCCAACCGGTCTGTTTTTCTCGGACATGCCGCTGTCGAGCAGTGTGGCTAGGTGCTCGTTTGCTTAACATGTTTCAAGACTGTATGAAGCAGACCATTCTTCAACAGAACTGCCAACGCGGCATGTGTGCGTGTATCTGTCCGACATTTCGCGGCCTGTAGCATCCGGGACCCTGATTTTGTGAAATCCGAACACGCTAGCAAACCGGTCTTTAGTATTTCATCACTGCGACCTCATTGTCTGCAATGCTTGCAACCTTTGCATTCTGCAACAGTGATATCTAGCCAGNNAGCCAGTCAGCCATGCATTCCGTGTTGGCCCTTTCATGCTTAAAGCAGGGGCCCCTGTAGAGCCGTGAGACACATGGACAACGGACGACCTCAGCGGTCGTGAGAAACTCCGAGTGCAGTGCGCGCTTTAGTGTGTGTGTTTGTGTCAGAGCCCTTTACGCCTTCGCTGTGCTAACCCTGCTGCATTGGCAGCGGAGCGCAAGCTCCAGGGACCTCGGAACTTTCCGGAGGCAGCTTTGGACGTGCCCCTCTCGAACACGATTCTCGACTACCTGGGCACGGTCCGCGCTTGGAGGCCTACTACGACCTCCCGGCGATTTTCTCCTTCTTCTCTGGCAAGTTCCTCGACTTTGTGAACAGTTTTTCCTTTGCTTTGCAGCAAGTGATCTTCAAGATGGACGAGCGGAGCAGTGTACCCGCTTGGGATGGTTCGGCCCGGAGCTGGCGACGCTACACGAGAGAAGTTGCCTGGTATGTCCAAGGCACACCAGTGCACAAGCGCAGACATTGCGCGTCGAAGCTCTTGAGCCGACTATCCGGCCCTGCACGGACCTTGGCAATGAGTTGGAATCGCATGTCCTTCGACCAGCCAGGAGGGACGAAGCACTACCTACAGAAGCTTGCGGCTTCACCCCTTGTCCGCAAAACTTTGCCCAACGCAGCCGCTATATGCTCCCAATACTTTTCCTTCCAAAGGAAACCGGGTGAAAATATCTCCAGCTTCCTCGTTCGCGAGTCCCTCGTGCACGAGGAATTCAGCGAAGCCATCATCCGCCTCCACGAGGACAAGCTTGGGGTGAGCCAGGAGAAGCGCGACTTTGGCCTCCCTTCGGAGGATGCTGAGGATTGGTCTTCTGGTGGCTG